TTTTTTTTTTTAACTAGACATACCACTTGGCCTGCAATCCTTAATCTGCGCTTTGATATGTGGAAATGAATGTGGTTATTCCATTATAAAGCAATGTTTTGTTTTGATAGATGACGGTGAAAAGACCTACATGAACCGTCGAAAAGTTGGAATTCTAAACTCGATACCAGCGAAGTTTCAATGCTGAGTAGATTACGAAATGTTCCATCCACGCTCCAAATGGCAAATATGCAGGATGGAAAGTCTAACAGCTAAGTTACCATATTAATTGCTTAAAACATAAAAGTGTTTTAAAGATCAGTCGCTCTATATTTAGAAATGGCTGTGAGATTTTTGATGAAAGGGCCTTCATAAAAGTATAAAAAGTTTCACTGTTACATTATTTTGATCACGGCTGATAACAGACGGCCATCACAAACACCCTCTGACAGAAGTGGAGGAGGAAGCGTGAAACTATGGTTCAGGAGATACAATCCCATTTATTGTGTTTCCTAACATTTCAGTGATACTGTTTATTCTTTTAATGCTCTACTGTCATTCCTTTTATTATTACTGCTATTTTATTATCAGCAGAAGTAATCATAGTATAATTAATTGATTTATTTTGGGATACAGTAGAGTACACGGTGTTTCAGAATATCTTAAGAGATAGAAGAGCGACAACAACTAAGTTATTACCACTAAATTAACTTCTCTCTCTCTTTTTTTCTAATGACAAATATTATTTCACTTCCTTTTAGTTGGTGCTTCAGAAGATAACACAAACTGCAAACAGATGTCCCCTATGGACAGTTAAAATCAGTGCACTGTGAGCTTCAAGGCATGTCAAGAAAGCTCTCGGGACTGCATCAAGCCTAGAGAAAAGGTGTAAAACCTTCCCCAGATCTGCTGTTTTAACAACTCAGCATGCTGGCCTATCCTGTATATGTTGAACTGAAGCACACAAAGAAGCTACTTACAACCCTCTGGGATTCGCACATAAATAAATTTTGTAGCCTACATGGTTCTCTTAATTCTTAAACAAAAACCAAATATTTTCAGCCAAAATAAAAAGTGTATAAATAACAAAATCGCTCAACCACTGCAAGCTTTCAAAAGTCTGGCGCATCTTGACTTTCTTTTCACCTATAACAGCCAGCTTGGATTCATTTGAGAGATTTCTCCTCTTGAATTTGGCCAAAAAGTAATGGAGGAACAGATTTGAATCCCTATAAAGTACCACAAGATTTCAAATTGTCTGGACTCATTTTATCTTTTCAATTTTAAAAGAGGATTTTAAACATGCAAAGTAGGCAGAGACTTGGAGGAAAGAGGACACTATGGCCAGGTCAGTGGAGCTTCTGCATCCCAAGTGACATTCGGCAAAGCCACTCAGGAGACATTTTCGGTTGTCACAACTTGGGTGGTGCTAGTGGCACTGATTACACAGGGGCCAAGAGTTGCTACTAAGTGTCTCATAAATGCACAAAACAGCTCTCCACAGTAAGAAATACCCTGTGCAGGGCACAGCAGCTCACACCTGTGATACCAGCACGTTGGGAGGCTGAAGCAGAAGGATTGCTTGAGGCCAGGAGTTTGAGACCAGCCTGGGAAACATAGCAAGATTTTGTCTCTACAAAAATTTTTAAAATTAGCCAAGTGTGGTGGAACATGCCTGTAGTCCTAACTAATTGCAGGGGCTGACGCAGGAGGATCCCTTGAGCCCAGGAGTTCAAGGTTACAGTGAACTACGATTGTGCCACTGCACTCCGACCTATGCAACTGAGACCTCGTCTCTAAAATATATATATATTTTTAGTGTTCTGAGCCCAAATAAAAATTGTGTTGAGATTGAGAAGCCCTGTGCTACAGCAAAAGGAATGAAGTTGGAGAAAAGACGTACTAAAATTTGTTTATAATTTAGTAAGAACTCTTACTAAATATACAGCGTTTCTTATGCACTTTAACCCAGACTTGAGCTGGAATGTACCAAGAGACCTTCATATGCATCTTCTGTCCACAGAAAAAAGGGAAAGTAATGGTCAACCAAGCAGCCTGCTAATTAGCAGGCAGATAAAACACATCAAAACTTGAGTATTCCCAACTGGGCAATTTCAAAAGCGAGCAATCCACTAATTAAAAATGCTGGAAGTCTAGTTTTTTCAAAGCAGGTTAAATACTGGCTGGGTTCCTTCACAAATAGATTCCTGACCAATCGGATCTGACTGCTCTTTTCCCAGCCTTTCCCATTTCCATCTTTCCCACTTCCTGACCTCACGCTGCTGCACCTTTCTTTCTCTGACTGCTTTCTGTTGAACAGGCTTCCCCTTCCCTTGGTCTCCTGCTGGATCTCAAGGATGAGGGCAAATCACTAGCTGTCCCAAACCTAACAAATAGAATAATCATA